CCCACACACACACATACATACATACATATATTATGCACGTGCAACAGTGTGCACCATATTGTGGTGTACGCCATGCACATGCGCTACATTGTTGGAACACATCGCAACACTTGATTTTTTTTTCTTTTTTCAAAAGAACATTATTTCAACTGTGTGGCAGTGCATGGCAAAGTGTTGTGATGCGTTGCCGTGCATTGTGATACGCTGTGTTGTGATTAAATGTATAATTTTATCACAACAAACAACCTACCAACACAAATTATTTTTAACATAAGTTGCTTATTTACAGTTTTGCGTTACTGCATTTTTCTATCGTTTTGCAAAAATGCACAATTTAAAATTTACAAATAAATTTGTTAACTCAATACAGTTTTAATCTTTTAGATTTAGTTGGAAAAGTAATTTTTGTGTGCAATTATTGCAGGATCTACCATCACCATCTTTTTATTCTACCGGGTCTGTGCTTTTTTTTTAAATATATGGTTTTTTTAAATATATTGTTTAAGCTGCAGTTAAAAATAATAATTGAAAAAAGAAAAAAAAAAAGTTAAAAATGGAAAAAAATGGGTGTGGCCAGCTGTCCGCCGCGCTGAATACTGAAAAATGGCCTGGATGGGAAGGGGGTTTAACACCGCGGATGTCAACTGGTTAAAAACGTTCCGCAGGGTTCGGCAGTGAAAGGGTTAATACCTCCGAGTTACAAGAGGCAGAATTTTTTTTTTTAAATGTATGTGACTAAAACGACTGAAGCAAAAACATTAGCATGCCAGCCGGGGAAATAGCGGAAAGGTAAGGTCAGCAGCACCAAATATTTTTTTGCAACAGGTTTAAAACTCTCCAAAAACCACTTCACGCATATAAGGAAAGAAAATAAGACAGTCACAGAACTCCTGCCATCAACAAGTGAGCCATGACTTACCTCCGAACCTGCAGATGCAGACCAACGCTGCATGTGCAGAAAATATCACTTTCCCATGGACAAAACAATTGCTCATTGGTTACCAAGATTCTCCATCATATTTCCAAACAGGACAATCCACACAAGTATTGAATGAAGCAATCACTTCACATAGTCTGCTGTCACAATGCTTGTAGATTGCAACTTTCTGTAATTTTGTTTACTTTCCGCACAGCAGGAAGAGATGGGGCCGAAATGTAGGGCTGCAACAACTAAGCGATTAAATCGATTATAATCGATGAGAATCATTGGCAACAATATTCATCATCGATTAGTTGCTTTTTTTCAGCTCCTCCGTTCTCCTCACCCTGATGCTGGCTGCAGCAGTATTTGTGCCTTTCAATCCCCACTGCAACGACAGAGGCAGCGGGGAGACATAATGCAATAGCCAATAGCAGGCTGGCTATTGCACCTGTCCACTGCCAATCAGCAGAGGAGGACCTGATGGTAAACTTTCTCCTTCATGTCCCCAGCAGGCAGGTGCAATAGCGTTCCAGTGCAGTGCGATTTCAGAAAATGTGCATACTGTTTTATTTTGAAGTAAACTTTATGTCTGTAACGCTGCATTTGTGCATTTTAAATAAATGACGGCAATTATTTTTTAAATTTTATCCGATTAAACAAAATTAAATAATTGGCCAACTATTCGCTTATGAAAATAATCGTTAGCTGCAGCCTTACTGAAATGATATATGTACAAGATCTTACTGCTACCATAGGTGGACAGACCTAAAAAAAGACTGATCCTCAACCATAACAACCAATGAACCTCAAAGAGTACCTTTATAGATCCTTTTTAACTATCGAATTACCCAAGCACAGCTGGCCGCAAGGATTGAATACTATAGAGGGTTCTTTCAGCTTTCCTCATATACCATTCACCTCATCTAACGCAAAGACACAAATGATGAAAACACAAAAAGATGTACTCTACACATACCTGTTGTAGTAAGCGTCTGCACACCTTGATATTGTGTTAGTGTTGCACTTGGCCGCAAAGCATACATTACATTATGAGAATTATTAGCAGAAACTTGGGGAGAAGTCATAATATAACCCTAAAATACAAAAGAAATAATCAATAAGCTTTCATGTAACCCAATTGCATAGTAGTATATCTTCACATACAAACAGACAATTGAACAATACAGCTTGAGAGCACTATTGGATAATATAACTAAGGAGCACAACAGACATACCTGGTTTAACATGACAGGCTGTGCAGGGATGGTAGCAACAGGTCGTAGCGGTTGTTGTGACACAGTAGGAAATGTGATGTTTCGACATACTGGTGGAGTGTTTGGCGTGAATGCCACTGGCCTGCAAATGGGCTGCATAACCGGACTTGGTCTTGGTGGCTGCTGAAATGGAATTCCTCCACTAACAGGTCTCCTTACTGGCTCTTGCATGCCAACAGGTCTTGGTAGTGGTTGAACAATGGCAGAACTAACTGCTGGTCTAGTAACAGGCTGATACATAGGTGCAGCTGGTTGACTGACATTTGCAACATTGTGTGCTGCAGTAGTGGGTTTGTAGTTTTTATTGGGGGACTGAAATGTAGTATTGGCTCCTGTAAAAAGAGGAATGTAAAATCCACAATAAAGATTAAAAACTAGAACATAAACTTGTATTGATATTAGAGACAATTACCTCTAGCAGGTGTTCCATTCTCAGCCCTTCTGACTGAAGTAGGCTGGGTCCCCGAAGAATTGCCTGTTTGATTGATTACAAATACAGTAAATGAACATTTTGAAGGGAACATTGCTTCTTCACATAAAATACACATCACAGTTCCTGCAGTAATTTAACAATTCACCAAATAAACCTGTAGAGACTGCATAACTCAAAACAACTCTTGAATGTAACTTTTTGAATGCTTTTGCAACACAGCCTTTGTAGGTGTGGTTGCCAACATAAAACACTACTCTTATGCTTACCAAAGTAAGACAGACTTTAGGCCTCATTGACACGGACGGCAAGGGGGCAGTAAAACCAGGTTAATCAGTGGCTCTCGCACCCCCCAGCCATCTGCTGCAATATCAGCACTGTGGCTGAACAGCGCTGTATACATTGCAGCGGCTGCAATGCTTTGCGGCAAAAAATATACAGCATATCACATTTGGCAGGCGGTACCACTTGTTAAATGTGATCATTGCAACAGAAAATTTCCATTGGGATTAAACACAAAAACAGAAGAAAAAAAAACCTGCATTCAGGAGGCGGCAGTATCACCTTCTGAATCCCAGGCAGCCGTGTCCACTATGGATCGCTTTTCAGATTGAACCCAGCCTTACAAGACTACAGAAACTGCTTCAAACCAAGTTCTAGAGCACATTTGTAAACTACATATCTAGCAAGTAATGTATGCAATATTATTAGCAGCAACAATAAATCTGGCTTTCATTTAGGTTTTAGAATGCAAGCTTTTACTAAAATAAAAACAAATAGGAAGTGATAAGTGGCCAGCACTATTCTGGCAGTTAGACATAAATCAGCCTCAATCACTTCTACTCTAAAAATGTTAGTCAAGTAAACTACTAAATTGGAAAACAGGCTCATTGTTGCTACTGCAGCTGATTACAACCTTTAACATATTGGACATAAGAATTACAGTGGTAGCAATAACAAGAGGTAACACAAAGTAGAAAAAAAAAACCAAAAAACCCAAGCAAACCGCACACACAACTTGTTATGTATATTCCTACTATCCACATAATGGTCTGTACTCAAAGGAAATGTGTGTGTATATA